TGGCGTGCAGGGAAGGAGCGGTTGGGTGTCTAGGTGACTTGCTCGGTTGCCTTATCTACCCAGTGGTTGAGCTGGTGCCATCATGGGCAGAGCTAGACTGTAAGGTGGCTGTGGTCTTGAGATACTCTCCAGATAGGAGAGAGTTTCCTGTGGGCATATTTAAGTTGTAAATTGACTCTTGTCTCTTCTGGTGGGAGAGATTTCGAACTCTGGGGCTTCTAGATATGCATGCAGTTAGATGAGCTTGTCCTGTAGGGGATGTCTGATGAAGGGGAGGTAAAGATTCTAATTGCATTTCTAAAGAGTGAGGTAGGAAGTGGGGAACAGGGGCAGAGGAGGAATGAGAAAAGAAGAAATAATAATTGAAAACATATCTCCTTTTCTTTCTCTTAGAGAAATGGCAGTACTGGGTTACAGCATTCTGTTGTACACCAAGCTTGTCCAACCCACCACCTGTGGGCTACATGCAGCCCTGGAAGGCTTTCAATGTGGCTCAACACACATTTGTAAACTTTCTTAAAACATATGAGATTTTTCTTTTGCAATTTTTTTTAAGCTCATAGCTGTCGTTAGTGTTAGTGTATTCTATGTGTGGCCCAAGACAATTCTTCCTGTGTGGCCCAGGGAAGCCAAAAGATTGGACACCTTTGTTGTACACCTTAAATGTAGAGTTTTGTTTCTCAGTTTTCCCTCAGTTACACTGGGAAAAAATGGCCATACCCAAAAATGACACATAAAATAGCTGTGTCAAATTTCTATTTTAATCTTGAAGATCTTTCTTTTATAATAAATAAACTTCTGCCACATGATTTTTTAAAATAGTTTCAGAGTGTTCCATTTTTATGGCTATTCCAGAACTCAATAAGTTCCTATTTATTTATTTGGACACTGTGGAGAGTCTAATTGTTGCTAGATCTTCAGGCACATTCTTAAATTTCAAAGCTGGAATTACTGAGTCTAGTGGGGCTTAAGACATATTATTATATGCGCCTCAAGAAGGTTTTGACTCCTTTAAAATGAAGTCAAACATCTCCATGTGTTTAACATTCAAATATTTTGTATGTGTGATTGCTCTCTTAGCTTGTTTTTTTTTAGTTTTCATTGAGTTAGAACAATTCCCTGGTTTACTATAAAAACAACAAAAAAATCATTATGAGCTAAATGGATTTTGAGAAATATACACTGAGTTTTCTCTTTACAGAGGTTTTTGTTTTGCTGTGTTTTTGCCTAGAGCATAGGGTTAACTGGACTAATTTATACTATTCCATTAGCTTTATCTTATTCAGGATAATGTGAGCCAGTTTTCTTAATCCTAATAGGGCATATTTCATTTTTTCTCTTAACTCATTCCTTTCCTAGTATATTGCTAAGTTTTCCAATTTTTTTCTTTACTTAAAAATGACACGGTCTAACATTATAATTGTGAAATACTGGAAAATGTTTTTGTCATTCTTGCTGCAGGCAGTTGACAACTCAAGGTGACCCCCAGGTTCGCTGGAAACACATCTTGATTGGTATCTGTGAGTGAATAAGCAGAGAGTACACTGAGTGCCTGACAAAGTGACATGCTGAACCATGAAACTATTAGAACTTGCTAAGGTTCCATACTCTGCACTAGAAATTTCTCCCAGATGAGGGCTTTTTTTTTTTTTTTTCTGTGAGAAATAAACCAGGAGAAAGGAGAAGATGAATTTTTGTAATTTAGTTTCATAATTTTTAGAACCAAATCTCAGCTTTATGTCTCTAGATTGGGAAACAGAGATATCACTGTCATTTTATGTTCTTTCTCGTTTGATCTGATCTATGCTTTTTTGGAACTTGCTCATCTGTCGCAAGCAAGGTTTTGTTGCTACGTTTCTGAACTTCAAAATTAGAAAAATCATATCCTGAAGCTTCTAATACTTACAGTTGTGCAGACTTTATATTCTGCTTACACGTCCCATTTTACATAAGTCTTTATGCCTTTTATTCAGAATTAAAAGAGAATAAAATTAAAAGAGAAAAATACCCCACATATACATAATACCTCTCAAAAGACTATTCTTTTGTGGGATAAGGTAGGTGGGAGAATGGGAGAGTAGGAGAGCCATTAGTATTCAAAATGTATAAGTAACTATTATTTTTAATTGGGGCCACTTGGACATCAAGATATTATTGCTTTTTTAAGAGATGCTTGCTCTGCAGAGCTGATTTCCTTAAATAACTCATTCCTATATGCAAGTTTCTACTGACAAATGTACTAATGTCCTAAAGGGCATGAAGGATATTAAAATACCTATATATAACAGTGATGCAGTAAATATGAATAGTGATACAGTAAAACACTGTTCTTCAAAAATATGTATGAACAGTGATACAGTAGATCACTGTTCTTTTACAAACTGGGTCCCTATTCTTCTACTTTTTATCTTCATAATAATTTATTTTATAACTTCTATTTAGAATATTGGCATATAATAGAGGTTGATAGCCTGATTTTTAATTTAAACACTTATCAGTCAAATAGTAAGTACTTGTGCAGGGTAGAGAAGAGTTAGTATTTTCTATTATCTACATATCTCTAAAAGACAAGAAAATTTCTGTGCATTTACAGACTATAAATACTAAAGTTAAAGCAAATGCCTTCTAGCTGGCATAATCTTAGGAAAAAGCAGACTAAAGTATTATAAATTGATAGCAGAGACATGCAAAGTAAAGACACGATCATCTAGATAATATAAATCAATTTTCTATTCTTGTGCTAAAGCCTAGACCCCACACGGCAGCCTGATGTAATTCCATCATCATGCTTAATTACTTGGCACTTGCACAGCCTTTTTATATTTGTGTTACTGTAATTCCTGGTAATTCATTCAGAAGAAATAAATTAGACAGCTTGCCACTCAAACTAACCACCATGGTGCATTGCTGCCCCACCCCCAAAAGATGAGTTGACAGCTACTGGGCATTAATCTAGCCATTTTTTGATAACGAGAGTATCTCTTTGCATATAATTATGATGAAAGTTAGACACATTGCAAATGTAATTATCTCAGTCCTCTTAGAATTTGACAGTCGAATTAAAGAAAGTTTAAGATACTATAAATCTTAAGGAATTAGGTTTAAAATGTGTAACCCAGTCAGAGTTTGAGATTACATTGAAAAGTGAGTATACTGAAAAGGATTGCAGAAACATTTCTCTCAGCCAGAGTTTAGTTGCTCACAAAACTGAATTTCAATAAAATAGATGAAAAGTGGTAGGCAGAGAGACTCAGAACTATGACTGCTGAAGAAAGACAGCTAATTCCATATCCCTTTTCCTAGATGCGCTGGAATACACTTGTGTCAGTGACAGATGCCGCCTTGTTGTGCTACATACACCAAGTCCAAGGTAGTGGTAAGATATAACTAGGAAGCAGTTACCGGAGACAAGACAGGATAGGGTTTTTACTGCATCTTCTGTTGGTGTCTTCTGTACTTATGCATAAAATTTACTCTGAACTGTTTACTTTTGTAGCCTCTCTTTGCTTTGTTTCCTTTATATGATGCATGTTTAGGCTATGCTTTTTTTTTTTTTTCCTTTTTTTTTTTTTTTTTTTTGACACGGAGTTTCGCTCTTGTTACCCAGGCTGGAGTGCAATGGCGCGATCTCAGCTCACCGCAACCTCCGCCTCCCGGGTTCAGACAATTCTCCTGCCTCAGTCTCCTGAGTAGCTAGGATTACAGGCACGTGCCACCATGCCCAGCTAATTTTTTGTATTTTTAGTAGAGACGGGGTTTCACCATGTTGACCAGGATGGTCTCGATCTCTTGACCTCGTGATCCACCTGCCTCGGCCACCCAAAGTGCTGGGATTACAGGCTTGAGCCACCGCGCCCGGCCCTTTTTTCCTTTTTTTTTTAAAAAAATTTATATTTTATTGTGCTTTAGGTGTTGGGGTACATGTGAAGAACATTCAGGATTGTTGCATAGGTACATACATGGCAATGTGGTTTGCTGCCTATGCTTCTTCTTTAAATATATGAGCAAATCTCTTGGTGTAATGTACTCATTACCCTAAAACCTATATTATAATGGACCTGAAGACCATAAGGTGGAAGACCAGAAGAAAAAGAAAATGCATACAATGCATACATTTTTATTTTTAAAACAATTCACTTTTTGTTGTTGTTGTTGTTTAGACGAAGTCTTACTCTGTCTCCCAGGCTGGAGTGCAGTGGTGCCATCTGAGCTCATTGCAATCTCCACCTCCCAGGTTCAAGTGATTCTCCCGCCTAGCCTCTCCAGTAGCTGGGATTACATGTGAGTGCCACAACACCTGGCTTTTTTGTGTGTGTGTTTTTAGTAAAAACGGGGTTTTACTATGTTGGCCAGGCTGGTGTCAAACTCTTGATCTCAGATGATCCACCCATCTAGGCCTCCCAAAGTGCTGGGATTACAGATGTGGGCCAGAGCCACCACGCTGGCCATAAAACAATTCACTTTTAAGATTATGTTCTTGAAAGATATACTTTTGACATAGCTGAATCTATTTCCTTCAGGCAGATACAGTAGGCCTTCTTGGGTAAAAAAGGTGTAGCAGTCTGTGAGACTTACCGGAAGGAAAAAAGAAATTATTCATTAATGTGGCTGAGGTCAGGGTAGTAAGCAGATTCATTTTAAATTCTAGCAGCAAAGGAATACCTGAGAAATGCTTATAAAGTTACATCATCTATTTATCCAAGCAATATTCTTCATGTCATTCCACCTTGCAAAAACCTTATGAAAAAGAAGAGCCATATGAATGAGCAATGAATAGACTTTGTATTAGATTGGTAATCTTGCTACTAGTAGATCAATTTACTTGTATTACTGATGTTTTAAGATAGGATTTTTGTAGATATTTATATATTAACAAAAAACTATTTTTTCTTTACCCTTTCTCCCAATTTGTTTTTTAACCTCAAAAATGTTTTCATCCCTGAGAGAAATACATGGGCTATCTTCAGCATAGAACACAAACTCTGCCTTCTTTTCTCAAGTCCAGTGACTCAAGTTTGACACACCACACCACGGCAGAAATGCCTTGTCTTTACACGTCTTCTCAGTAACACTAGAAAATACATCCAAAGACATGTGGGCAAGGTAAGCCTTGTAGCAATCCTTTGATGACTTTGAAAAATGCAAAAATGCTCATCAATCAGGAGGAAAGGGGCCAAAGGAGATGTGTTTTCCCTCACATGTAGTGTTGTTGGTTTTTTTAAGATACTTTTTGTTTTTCTCTAAATCAAACTCAGACTTACTCTGTTTACAATGAAATACATTGTGCAGTGCCATAGGCATAATCAGACTCAGATCTCAACAATGTGTATGATTTCATACCCAGCATAAGTAAGGATTTAGTATGAACTGTATCTCTGAGTGAAAATAAATAGCTCTGAAAAGTCAATTATTCTCATTTCCTTTTACACTTTGCCTTCTTTTCTTTTCTTTTTCTTTTTTCTTTTTTTTTTTTTTTTTTTTTTGTTGAGATGGAGTCTTGCCCTGTACCCCAGGATGGAGTGCAGTGGTGCAATCTCAGCTCACTGCAACCTCTGCCTCCCAGGTTCAAGCAATTCTGTTGCTTCAGGCTCCTGAGTAGCTGGGACTACAGGTGTGTGTCACCACACTCGGCTAATTTTCTGTACTATTTTTTTAGTAGAGATGGGGTTTCACCATATTGGCCAGGCTGGTCTCAAACTTCTGACTTTGTGATCCAACCACGTCAGCCTCCCAAAGTGCTGGGATTACAGGCGTGAGCCACCGCACCCTGCCTACACTTGGGCTTCTAATAGCTGTTTTATGTCATTCCTTTCAGAGCTCTAATACCAAGTTTGAATAGTCTAATATATCCTACCTCTAAGTCTTTACTGAAATTTCATGGAAGAATAGGCCTTTGTCAGCAATTCATAATTCGAAGTTACCAGCCTTTCTTAATTTCGGGTTGCCCCTCCTGGACATGTTGTAGACTCATTCATGGGCTTTTGAGTTAGAAAAATTACTGTTTGAAACTCTTCTCAGCTCTTGGCCTTTGACTTGGTCAGGTTACTTTTAATGCCACATGATATTTTATTTTATTTGTCATCTTCAGAATGGAGAAAATGAAAGTACCAGCCTCACAGAGTTATGATATTTGAATGCTATAGCCTAAGTGGTGAACCTAGCTTAGGGTCTGTTACCTGGTATAATGCTCAGAGGAAAGCCACGATTTTTTGTGATGTTTTTGTTTATATACTGATAGCATATAAAGGAGTTTTTCAAGTCTCATCACAGCCTTCAAAGCTCCTCTTCCTTGAGTCTGAGCAATTAGTGAGAAAAATCTGACTACCAATGAACTTAGGACTGAGATGTGCTTAGGAGGTGTGGTCATTGCTAGGTTTGATAATTATCGAAGAGAGTGATTGACTTCTTAGAACCCTGACTTGCAGCTCTAATACCCTAAAAGACTAACCATTACCAATAGACGCTGCCCTCTAGTGTGCTTGTCTAATTATATAACAACTATAATTAACACTTTAAATCTGATAATTCCTACCTAAAAATGTATATTACCTGGTACAGAGCCTGGCAGAGAGGAAGCATGCGTTCAATATATGATCATGGTTTATTGAGTCAGTCCAGAGCTTTCCCTGGTACTGGTTAGAACTCTGGGAGCATACTGCATGGACTTAGCAAATCTGCAAACAGCTGGATATCCTTTGAGGTGAGGTGGAGCAGTTTGTCATTCTTCATTTCTACTAACATTTATTAGGTTTGTGTGGAAACTTTAGAGTTGGGACTCATAACTTCACTTAATCTTTACACTAGTCCTTTGAGGAACATGTTATTCCTATTTATCAGATAAGAAATTTGAGACTTAAGCAATAAAGTGACTCACTAATAGCAATATTACTAATAGCAGCTAAGTTAACTATACTGTGGGAACCTATGTCATACCTTAGCTGCTATCTGGATAGGCGCATGCCTTGCCTAGCATGGATTTGGGGTACTAAACTCTGTATATTCAGTCATCCCCAAGATCCTTGTTTGAGAGCATATTATTTAGAGTTATTCTTATTTTTAGGCTTGGGCCTTGTTGTGGACTGTCTGTGGTCCCCCCAAAATGTATATATTGAAGACCTAACCCATGATGTGGTTGTATTTGGAGATGCAGCCTCAAAGAGGGTAATTGAAGTTAAGTGAGGTGATAAGGGTAGAGCCCTGATCCAACAGGATAATGTCATTATAAGAAGAGACACCACAGAGATCACCCCATCTCTTTCTACCATGCAAGGACTCAGCAAAAAGACGGCTATCTACAAGCCAGGAGGAGAGTCCTCACCAGAACCAAACCCTGCTGGACCTTGATCTTGGACTTCCTAGCCTCTAAAACTGTGCAAACAGAAATTTTTGTTGTTTAACCTGCACAGGTCTGTGGTATTTGTTTATTATGGCAGCCCAGGCAGACTAAGACAGGCCATCATAAGACGTGAACGTTTTGGACCTTCTCTTGTGCCCTAATAAATAGAAATCAGGTATGAAAAAGGAGTAAACATATATTTTCCTTTATTTTTGTTTGTAATGTGTAAACTTTAGGTTTTTATTTATTTATTTGCTGTGGACAATCACATTGTTTATCTATAATGTAATCACATTGTTAATAAAAAACTTCAAAATTTTTAAAAATTCTAATTGATTTCTAGATGTTCAAATGACAAGATGGCATTTCTATATCATCAGAACATAAAATACTTCAGAAAAAATAAATTTACAAAATAATATGTATTATATTGAGAGAAAGAGAGAGTATTGGAAGAATATATACAAATACAATGTGATAATGTGATATATTTGTGAGAATGCTATATGTAATTTTCTTTGTTTTAATTTATATGAATTTTTAATATTTTTACCTTTGAAATATATAAAAGAGAGAATAAAAGTCACTGACAAAATCAAAAGTAACTTTATTCATAGGTAGTAGGTATGTGTCTTTAACAGAACAGCAGATAGTTGATGAATATTCAGAGATATTTTATAAGAAGTTATAGATAAGAAGTATACTTTATCCAGAAGATCTATGGTATTCATTCCCAATTGCAAATATGTATGTAAAAAATCCACAAATGAAACCAAAACAACTCAGAATTCTCATGAATGTTGCATACATAAATATAATATTTGGAATAAATGTGAACAAGCTACATACAGGATGTCTTTCAGTTGGGTTGCTGAAGTGCCCACGTTTTGCTTTTCTGATAGGTATCGTAGGACAGCTTTAGTTTTGTGGAGTCACTCCCCAGGGAATTATTAGGGTGATGTGCTGAGAGACAGAACAGTGGATTTGGAGTCAGTAGACCTGGATGGAACTCACTCACCAGCTGTGTCATTGAAAAGGTCACTTAAGATCTCAGAGCTTTAGTCTCCTCATTAGTAAAACTAGCATAATAATTCTATGTCCTTTACATGGTTTCATCAGCATCAAACTAAATGAAATAATATGTGTAAAGCTTTGTGACCTAGAGCACTCTATGCTAATGCTAGCTATCATTATTTTGAAGATGACTATTATAATCGAAGTTATATAAATTAATTGAGACAGAAGTTGTTCCCCTGAAAATGTTAACTCTTGCTGCTATAGTTCTAATTATGCTAGGGCAAATCCCTTTGAATATTCTTAATTTTTGCTCTGATCTTAATTAATGGATACCAAGGTAGATACTTTGGATTTCTGGCAGACAGTAAAACCTGGGGTTCAGAAGCAGTAGACTAAACAGGCTGTAAGTTTGCAAGCTCCAACTTTCATTTATTTGATAGTTATCATGAAAATCTATATAGTGCTTTCAGTGTCCTCTGGTTACAGCAGTAAGTAAAAAAAAAATCATGCCCTCCTGGAGCTTACAATCTGATGGGAGGAGGGAGAGGGCAAATAATACAGTAGAAAATGAATATATAATAGGTCAGTAATGAATATGTGATACAAGTAGTCAGTGCCATGGAGAAAAAATAAAGCAGAATAAAGGAAGGGTCTGTAGGTCAGATGTGCAGGCAGCAAAGACTGAGATGGAGATTGAAGTTCCGGAAGCTTATTTAAAGTGTTTTGAAGAAGGAAGCAGGGCTGGGTAGACAGAGAAGTTGAGGTCCAAAGCAGGCACAGGTGGGCTTCTGCCAACTCCATGGAGAATTGGAAAGCAGGGATGGGCCTTCCGATTGCCTTGACTTGGGGAATGGAGGCCAGGCCTTTATATTCAGGCAGTGACCAGAATTGGGATGCAAGTTGTTTCCTGGAAAGGGGACTGTGACTTTGGTGACATGACTTTCCTCTGTTGAGGGCAAATTCGTAGAGAGGGCTGACAGTAGTGAGCCTCCAGCCAATAGCATGTGTTCATTACAGGGGTGTGTGTGTGTGTGTGTGTGTGTGTGTGTGTGTGTGTGTAGGGGAGGCGGCAGGTGAGATTGCTTTTTTTAAAAGGATAATCAAGGAAGCTTCTCTGAAAACATTTTGGGACTAAATGTGAAGGATATGAGGGAGGAACCTCATGAAATCTGGGGGTAGCAAGTATCTGGGGGAAATGTTTCTGAGGAAGATAATTTTGATCTTCTTCTTTGGATTTTTCATGTGGATTGTCGATATGAGTAAGGTCTATGCTCATCTCTTGCTTTTCCGGTCATGCTTATCATGGTAGTAGCAATAATAGTAATAACAACAATAATGTCATTTTTACCATGTAATTGCAAGATTCACTTTTAGAAACTGATGTAAATATCTTTCATAAGATCTTACTAGAGTATTAATTAGCTAATTAGTTAATTTACTTATTCATTCAGTGACACAGTGAGCGTTTATAAATGCCCACTGTATGTCAGTTACTATGCGAGGCATACTGGACACCACAGTGAGAGGGACGAGTCAGTCCCTGAGTTCGAAACTGTTAAGGTGGAGAGACTGACAAATGAAACAGGCAATTAAAAATACAGTGCAAACAGTGGTCCAGTGTAGTTAAACCAGGGAAGGAAGGTGCAGAACGGAAACACTAAGCCATGCAATGAAAAACCAGGTGTATGAATATATAGGGAACGGCAGATTAATAAAGCAAAGTGAAAATAAAGCTTTCTTTGAATTGGGGTGGAATGTGTGGAACAGAGCTGGGCAAAGTAGGTTAGATAATTGGCTCTGGAAATGAAACCAAGTTTTGCTGAGAGACCTCTTACATTGTCAGATGGGGTTAAATCCATAAGGGTCTATAAATATTGGCCTGCTACCTAGAAAACACGTTTCAATGGCAACTCAGTTGCGGGAGAGGTTTTCATTGCTAACTATGAAGCATAAAGATATTTAAGTAAAGCCTGCCTCAAGGAGTGGGCTGGTATCTCTGATCAGAGCTGGCGGCAAGCTTGAGTAGTGACAATGGGGAAATCTCCAAAAGTGCCAGCTCCTACCACCCAACACCCAGGAGAGAATAACTTCTTACTCCTTCCTCACAGGTCCTGAGCTAAGTAGCCTCTTCAGTTCTCGCAATCCATTTCTCTCCTGTCTGCCCCGTTCATGTTGCAAAAATGTCACAGCACTGTCTACTTAAAGATGACCTCTCTAAAGCAGATTTGACTCTGTATTCTTTGAAGGCAATTCTGTTTTTTTTTTGTTTGTTTGTTTCGTTTTTGCAACACTGCTCCGAAAACACCTGGATATAAACAGTAATGTCAGCGTGGTCAGGGAAGTGGAAATTCTACTGTTTTTCATGTTTCATTTAACATTCTTTGACTTGGGAGTGATAGTAAAAATATAAAAATATAGAACATTTTCCAAGTCAACTTGCTTTGTAAGTGCCTCTAAAATTTTGTTTGTTCTTCATGTTCATAGTGGTTTTAAAGTGTTAGTCTGTAAAATATTCTATCTACATGTATAACGTGTTTTTTTGATAGTCGCTTCTAGAACAGGCTGAAAATCAGTCAGGAAAATTAAGTAAGAATGATTTGTGGTTTATTCATATTCTTATGTATACCTGAGATTCTCACATTTGTCACTAATGACTGTAATGAAATAATTAAAGACAAATGAATTAGTATTTTATCATCTAAATTTCTACCTTTTTCCTGAACCTTCTTATATTTCTAGAAATTAGTTACAAGGAAGTCTGAGACCTCAGGGCTTACTGTTGCAAGTGAAAAGCGGGCTGAAAGAAAAGTTAAGTCATTGAAAATGGTATCTACATTTACTTTCCCTTTTATTTGTATTCTTTGCCCTTGACTTTAAATTATTTTGATTCCAGAAGGAAGAAAACTCTGTGAGTGTGCTACCAAGCCTCACTTTTTCTGTCATGATTGGAAGGTTTGATGGTACCCAGAATTACTCATGAAAGATGGAAGAGCTGCAGCATTACAGTGAAAGCCATCTTGCAACAGCCTGAATTCCTTTTGCTTTTACCTAAGTTAGGAACAAAAAATACTCGTGTATGTTCCCCCAAAGGGCAAAAAAGGATCCAATGAAAGGACTAGGTTGTAGAAAGGTCAGAGCATTTTATTGCTAAGTGACACCTAAAATCACTCTCTCCTGTACCCCTTATATTATAGAAGAGAAAATTAAAACCCGGAATAAGATCAAGAGGTTTTCATTGGTCATTATGATATTAAAGAACTTTTGAAGTATATGGGTAGCTTTTTCACAACCATATGCTGATCAGACCTCAGCCAAAGACTTCAGGGGAGTCCTCTGCAAATTTCTAGAACTCTTTGTGCAAGTTTTTCCTCTTGGGTTCTCTGCCTTGCAAACTCAAACCACTCAGGCTTTCCTTAGACTCAGCTCTGCCTCCTCATCTCAGAGGGATCCCACATTGGGGCCTGGGAACCCTCCAGGCTGTGAGCCGGACAATGGAGCTCACCTACATTTTGGTTGTTTCCTCTCTCTTGGCAATCACTCTACTGATGTCCAGTGTTTGAAATTCATTTTTTCATATGTGTGTTGTTTGTTTGGTGTCATTTCCTGCAGGAGGGTAAATCTGGCTCCTGTCCTTCCATCTGCCCTCCAGCTGCTTCCCATAAAGGCAGCTCGCTTCACTTCATTTTCAATTTTAATGACTTCTGTTCTATATTATGCCTTTTTGTCTACTTTTTTTTTGGTTATTCTCTTGTTCTTTTTCTAACTTCTTGAGTTTATAGTAAGTAAATTAGCTTTTGGTTTTTCTAAGTCAATTACTGAATGTTTTGAAATTTTCGCTTTGTGTTACTTTATATATTTGAGGCTCTTTGTTAAACTCATCCAAGTTCTGAACTGTTATTCTTACGGCAAAGGGGTCCCGATCCAGACCCCAAAAGAGGATTCTTGGATCTTGCACAAGAAATAATTCAGGGTGAGTCCATAAAGTAAAGAGAAAGCAAGTTTATTAAGAAAGTAGAGGAATAAAGAATGGCTACTCCATAGGCAGAGAAGCCACAAGGGCTGCTGGTTGCCCATTTTTATGATTTTTTTCTTGATTATTTTGATATGAACAGTAGGCAAGGAAATACTGGATAAAAGAGGTTCCCTGGCCTTTTGGCCCACCACGCCCCCTCCCCATCCTATACCCATGTAAACCCTAAGCCTTAGGCTCCATAAGCAGAAGATCAGAGGGGCAGAAGAGAGGTGCAGCATAGAAGGGGAGAAGAGAAGGCACATTTAAGTGTCAAGAGGAGTTCAGCTGGGGAAGGTTGGAGAGAAGAGAGGCCATGGGACAGCCAAACTCTAGGGGAAGATCATCTTCCCACCCATCCCCTTTCCAGCTCTCATCCATCCTGCTGAGAGCCACATCCACTCAACAAAACCCCAGCATTAACCAACCTTCAAGTCCATGTGTGACCTACTATTTCCTGGATACTGGACTAGGACCAAACACCAACAGGTCACTGAGCTGGTTAACATTTAAGTCATCTGTGGACAGCAGAGCTAAGAGGCACTGTAACATGCCCATTGAGGGTTTGGGAGTTGCAGGAACCCATCGTTAGATGCTACCATGGGGCTGGAATCCAAAAGCACTTTCCCCGGCTCCTGCACCTGCCTGCCCATCTGCATGCTCTCCCTCCCATAAGGGGTTTGAGCACACAGTGAGCAAACAGACAAGCCACACCCGTGTTGGACATCCTGTGAGGGGTGGGTCAGGGAACTCTCTTGTTTCAACATGCATGCCTCCTCTTTTTAGATCATATAGGGTAACTTCCAGACATTGCCATGGCATTTGTAAACTGTCATGGTGCTGGTCGGAGTGTAGCAATTAGGGCAACCAGAGGTCACTCTCCTCACCATCTTGGTTTTGGTGGGTTTTGGCTGGCTTCTTTACTGCACCTTGTTCAGTCAGCAAGGTCTTTATGACCTGTACCTGATGCTGACCTCCTATCTCATCTTGTGACTTAGAACGGATAACTGCCTGGGAATGCAACCCAGCAGATCGCGGTCTTATTTTACCAGACCCCTATTCAAGATGGAGGCACTCTGGTTCATATGCCTCTGACATTACTTCCAAGATGATTTTTTATCATTACATAGTGGCCTCTTTATCTTTGAGAATGCTTTATCTATTATCTATTTATTTGGTATTAATATAGCAACATGAAATTTCTATATTTTTACAGACTCCTTTCCTATTTATTGATGTATAACACCCATACAATAAAGAATATACAAAGCACTGATCTTAAGATTTTTTTCTAATGTGTATAGTTATGTACATATCCACTACCCAGATCAAAATAGAGAATATTGCCAGCATCAAAGGAAGACACTAGCATTATTTCAGTTGGTATTTTCCTCATCTTTTTCCATACCTTACTATCAACTTATCTATTTAAAGATTTTACTTTCAAACAGTATGTAACTTTTAGTAAAGTTACATTACATTGATTGATTGTTACATTAAACCCAAGCCACTATGTATCAACAACATTCTCCATTCCTATTTTCCCCTCATAGAAAAGTAGATTTACTACATTTATTTGAAATTTCTGTGTCTGTTGAAGGAGTCTTTAATTACGAATACTAAAGGACTCAATCTGTATTTTCTTTTAGTACTTTCCTGTTTTTATTTTGTATCTTAACCTTAATCACGTGAAATGTTTTATGTTGTAAAGAATGAGTAGTAGAGATCTCTTTTTTTTTCCCTATCTGACAAGTTTTCTGAATACAGTGAACAATCTATCTTTTTTTGTTGATTTGAAGGCTGTTTTCTTCATGACACTAAATTATTACATGTATTTTAATTTACAGATAAATTCTGTTGTATTTTACTTATCTAAACATACATTTCTTTACCCAGAATGTTCTTTTAATTAGTGCCTAATATAGCTCTATATTATGATTATAATTCCTAGCAGAAGAAGTTATCACTCATTGTTCTTAATTTGTGATTTTTCTGGCTATTAACACAGATTTATTTATTCTTCTAGATGGGGCTGTTCAACCTTGGCACTATTATCCACTTGGACTGGATAAATAAAAGTCATTAGTAGAATCCTTCTAGTTTCCTCTGCTTACTTTTTATAGCTCTGCTTGGTGCCCTCAGGTGGGAATACTGTGCCAACTGCTCAGTACCTTCTTTCTTTTTAGACCAAAGCAGACACTCTGCAGAGTTTCTTATATGAGGTTGGGGTTGTTTCTTAATTTCGGAGTAGATTATTGTTTATTCTATGCTTCATTCTTTTTCTTCATTTAAGCAGATTTCAAATAGATGGAATTCGTAAATATTTTTTCAAGCCTCCATCTTCTCTGGACATGTAAAATTTTTAAATCAAGAAATATTTAAATTACCATTTTTACTTATCTGTTTTTAATTGCTCTGCTATTTTTGGTGTTCGCAAGTGATTTATTATTTTATCATTTTTATTAGGTAAGAGATGCTAATGGCGAGTTTGAGATTTGATAAGAGCTATTTTATGAGAAATAAATGAGAAACCATGGCAAGAATGGACAGTGATTTTTACTTTTTATTCAATTGTTTTGGCTTCTTACAGGCCCATGACACTTTCCTTAGAGTTTACCACAAACAACTAAAGTAAAATAACTGCTATTTCTCTCCTTGCAGTTAAACTGCAAATGGTTCTTTTTACAAGAACTGTGATTGCCTCTAGCAGGCAGTCTCAAGTACTTGATATATAAACACACTATTGCCCCCTTTTTTTTCACACTTGCAAGTTTGTAGAATAAACCACTAAAAATTTCATAGTATCTGAGGAGAATGGATCTCTCCAGATAATGTTTCCTTGGCTGGGGCCAATATATGCCCCATGCAGTCAGTCCCCTCTATCTGCCATAGAACTTCATCTACGAAGCATTGTTTTCATCAATCTTCACACGGTAGGACGATGCTGGCAAAAGCTGAGGCCTTGCTACACATCTCTTTCGAAGTTTTCCTTCAATGCCATTTTGCTTTTAGTCATTTTTTTCTTTATATTTTCACAGAAGTCATTTATTTCATTTCACTCTATTTGACTCATCCAAATGTTTAACTTGGTTTTATAAATGTAACTCTATTTTCAGCTCAACTGTAGATTCAATTTTCTTGTAGTTGCTCATATAATACCTCCTACATACTAAGCCTGCTCCTTTCTCAGGAACTTGGTTCTAGTTTTTTCTCCTTTTTTGCTTCATATCTTTGCTTGAATGCTTCCATATTATTTCAACACCTCATTACATACGCAAATTTCTGCAGCTGGCTTGAATTTCTCCCCAGAAAAATGTTTTTTTATGTCCTGTTTCATCACGAGTCTGCAAACTTTCCAAATTTTTACCCTCTACTTTCTCTTGAATGCTTTGCTACTTAGAAATCTTTTCTACTAGATACCGTAAATTATCTCTCTCAAGTTCAAAGTTCCACAGATCTCTAGAGTAGGGGCACAATGCTGCCAGTCTCTTTGCTAAAGCATAGCAAGAGTCACCTTTGCTCAGGTTACCAACAAGTTCCTCATCTCCACTGAGACCACCTCAGCCTGGATTTCATTGTCCATATTACTATCAGCATTTTGGTCAAAGTCACTCAACAAGTCTCTAGGAAGTTCTAAACTTTCTCACATTTTCCTGTCTTCTTCTGAGCCCTCCAAACTGTTCCAATCACTTCTGCATTTTGGGGTATCTTTATAGCAGCACCCACTTTTGGTAACAACTTACTGTATTAGTCTGTTCTCATGCTGCTATAAAGAAATGATCAATAGTGTGTATTTATAAAGTAAAGAAGTTTAATTGATCTACAGTTCTGCATGGCTGGAAAGGTCTCAAGATACTTACGATCATGGCCAAAGGGGAAGCAAACATGTATATCTCACACAGTGGCAGGAAGGAGAAGAATGAGAGCTGAGTGAAAGGGGAAGCTCTTTTATATAACTATGAGATCATGTGATAATTTACTCACTATCATGAGAATATCAAAGGGGAAACCACCCCAATGATTCAATTGCCTCCCACTGGGTTCCTCCCATGACACATGGGGATTACTGGAACTACAATTCAAGATGAGATTTGGGTGGGGACACAGCGAAACCATATCAGTCATTCCACATATTGAGTTATTTCTCTCTTCTATTCACTGTTCCCCCACAGAGAGGGGCCCATAATTGCTGCCTTCAAGGAGTCTACATCCTGGTGTCTTTATGGTTATGGGTTGCATATAATAAAGAAATAAGCTGATGTTACAGGATTTTGTGAGACTATTCCTATTCTTCCATAATTAGCCACTAGGACCACAGCTGAAACCAAGAGGCACTGAGTACCACCTCACTCTAAAGAGAACTACTGACTTTGTGCTCACTGGTGGGGCCAGACTTCTTTGCAAGGCTTTTTTAGGTTTTATACGATGTAACCCTCTACTAGCCTAGGCTTAAGGAGAGAAATGCAGAGGGAAAGAGATTCACTGGAGTCTCTTGTCAGTGACCTGGTGGTGAATATATGGTAATGGGTGAATCCTATTTCACCTAATGAAGAAAAGGAGAAGGAGGCTCTTCATTCTTAGAATCAAAGCAGGAACAGGAAAGGGAAAAGCTAGGAGAAAAGCTTTTAAAGACTAGAAATGCCTTCGAGAAGGTGAGAGAGACTAAGACTTTGTTTACTGTTAGCAGGCTGTCCAGGCAGCCTTTTGCCAATATAACCCTATCCCTGCATGAGTAGGGGGAAGGGAATTGTGGATGGACAGCAGAGCTCTGGGAAAGACAGAGATTGAGCAGCTGGACTCCATCCATTTGGTGGGTAAGGACCCTGGTGTATTCAAAGGATCAAACGGAATGTGACTGAAGAGTTATCTTGCTGATCTTACCCAGAAGGACATTCCTCTAGGAAAGGGGACTTGTAAGTTTCCTGAGACCTTTTTAGCCATGCAAAATTGTAGATCAATTAAACCTCTTTCCTTTATAAATTACACAGGCTTGGGCAATTCTATATAGCAGCATGAAAACAGATTAATACAGAACAGACTAATACAATAAGAGGCATGGAATAAGGATTTGGTGATGAGAATTGGGCAAGAATAGAAAAGTCAGAGCTGGAGTTTAATCCCCACATCATGGTAAGGCCCTCTGAAATTCTCTCTATGCCTTTGAGAGACTCAGCATTTAGATTGTGACTCCTCAAGTACATTAGTGGCCAGTGTACGTAAGCTAGGTCAGCAGCTACAGCTGTCAGGCACAGGATTACACCATGAACAGTAAAGTAAAAAGATGTTCTTTTTCTGCTCCCAATCCCAGAGGAGCAAAAACCTAGAAAAAAAGAAGAAGGTAGTTATAGAGCTTTCATTTAGATATAAGATGGGCATTTTGAAATTTTAATTACAAAAAAGACTAGAAAGTTTTATATCTCCCCAAGATGTTTCTAGGGAATAGGAATAAGGAACAGGAAAAGTGTATTCCATACAGTATAAGTGAATTTTAAATAATTAGTGTTTCTTTAGCCTACTGGATTGATACTTGCCAATAACCAGATATACAAATAAAGAGGGTAGTTCTAGGAGCTGAGTGCTGTGAAAAAAATACAGGAAAAAAATGAGAGAGAAATTAATGGGAAGGAGACTACAAGCTGCTTTGCCTTGGGTAGGTGGGAAAGATCTATTTCATTTAATGAAATTTTACTGAGTTTTTCTGTGTTCTGGTCATTATTCTGGGCTCTGAAGATACAAAGTAGACAAAACAGATGAAAAATACAGTCACCAGAAATCTTCTTTGAAGGTGTGAGACAGAAATAATATGGAAGCATTCAAGCAAAGATATGAAGCAAAAAAGGAGAAAAAACTAGAACCAAGTTCCTGAGAAAGGAGCAGGCTTAGTATGTTGGAGTTTTGGGAAAAGGTTTGTGGCTCCCACCTAATGACAGGAGAGAGTGGGAGATGGTGGAAGCGGGCAGGCCAGGTGAGCTGAGCATGTGGACAGGTTAGGTTACATCTTCAGGATTGTGCTAAGAAGTGGTGATTTATTCTGGTCAGTAAAAACCTTGCTGGAGATTTTAAATAGGAGAAATACATAATCTAATTTATAGTTTAAAAAATAATTCTGTGATGGAGGAAACATAAAAAACAAGAGTAGAAACAGGGAGACAAGCTGTGGGGCTGTTGCTATACCCCATGCCATCTCATCCAATCTTTTTAGTAAGAATAAATGAGGCTGGTCACCTTTTACTGATTCCTTTTTAAAATTTCAAAATACTCAGGGATGGGGGTTCTTTAGAAAATTAAAATAGTCAGCATTTTAATGGTTTGGTGGGTCTAGAAAAAATTTAATACACTTAGGTTAAGTAGGACTTACATTAAACTGATTACTGTTGATTTAAAGGTCATGGTGTTGAGCTGAGAATGGAAATAATTTTCACCTGGTTGGCAATATTTGAAATCATTTATCAACTTCAGTTTTGTCCAGTTGACTAATAAAGGTCTAAAATTTCCTTTATTTGCTTTTGTCAGAGCAAATTATGTTACTAATACCACCACCTACAAGAGAGAATAGTTATGAGAAGAGTCAAGGACAATCTATGAATAACTTAAGTGGAAGCTGACATTACATATTTTCTAATATATGATGCTCTGATAGCATTTGACAAGACCATTTGGAAGAGACCCAGACTGAGACAAAAATCCTAGTTAATATGCTCCCGCTCCACTGAGTGATGTTCATCAGCTGATAATGTGAACTCAGACTAAACTCTTGTCATAAAATTTAGAAAGAAGGTAGTTTGAGAAATTGTATATTCTTCACTGTGAAATGATTGACCTAAGCATGAAATCAATTCTAAGAATAACTCCAAGAGACAGATAAGTTCAGGACCAAGCTTGTAAAAATGAGAACCACTCAAAAAATCTCAAATTTTATTCCTAAACCTATCTGTGCTCAAGAACTTTTTGGATACTTCTTGCAGGACTGGAAATTCTTGCCTCTTATTTAAACAATGACGGTTCTCCGTAAGCCCCAACTGAATGTTCACTGGAACATGTTAGACATGCGACATAGTTGAAGAACTCATAGATTAGGATGACTGCTTACATCAATTATAAAACTCCATGTAGACGAATGTAACCCTATCTGTTAGGGGTATATGTATTAGCAACTGTCTTGTTGCCACATATATATGTATTGTGTTACACCATGAACAGTGTATATATATATATCTTTAATTTTGAAAATATTAATGTCTTTTATTGTTATTTTTTCTTTGTAATATAGGTTTATTACAGAAAATTAAGAAGCTAGAAAAAATATAAACAAAAAGACACAAATTAGCTATAATCCCACTGAGTGAAATTAAACTCTATACATATGCTGTGTATATGCCTGGCATCTCCCCCACCCCACAGCCCCCACTACCCACAGAAAGAAGTTTTAATATAGAACTATCTGTAATCTATTAAATATGCAACAAACACCATTCCTTGTCATCAAATCTACCAGATTTTATCATGGTGTGACTGTAAAGTAATGCCTTGAGGTTTCTGAAATACTTTAGAATTTATACATTCAAAGCAGTTACCTTGAGAGGTAATGATATACATTTATTCAAATGTGGATACTGAACAAGGCAGATTTGTGACAGTCTTCTTACTGTTCACTTAGGGGAGGCATACAGCATATGGCCAGGACCTGCTATACACCCTGTTTTTAGGATAGGAGAAAAAAGACCTCACCTTGAGAGGTAATAATATACATTTATTCAAATGCAGATGCTGATCAGATTTGTGACAATCTTCTTACTGTTCACTTAGGGGAGGCATACAGCTTATGGCCAGAACCTGCTTTACACCCTGTTTTTAGGATGGGAGAAAAGAGACCTCAGAACCTCCTCCTCCTGACTCCTGGCTTAAGGCAGTCAGAGTGTTTCTGGTGCGTGTGACAGGAGGAAGAGTGCTGCCATTGGGACCCCAGGTCCTGTGGTTTTACCTGTCCTTTCTGAGGCATAGGCATCCTGGAGTCCCTCACAGATTTCTGACCCAGCCATCTCAGTAGGATCTGTTGTGTCCTGGAGGTGACAAGTGCTCTCTGGAGTTCATTTGAAAGCCAGGCTCTTCTCTATGTGCTCCTACCTTTGTGCCTGTGATTCTCTTTACTGTTGAGAGGGGACCTGAACTCCAAGCAGGTGAACTATAATTAAGATCAATGGATACTAAAGTAAGTCTATCAAACATCTGGTTTTTTAACAAAAATTTGAATAGAACTTGGTCCTTCTCCTCAAGGATCTCACAGTATAATAAACTTGTCGTTGTTTTTTTAATCACAGTGCAATTTCAGCAGTCAGGCCCCTCGGGTACTTGACTGAATCTTGTTCCTTTCCAATATATTTCACACGAGACTTCATGTTATCCTGCACAACTACGTAGTGAGAGTCCAGGCTGAAGTCTTCATTATGCTTCTGCATATTCTCTGCTGCTGGCTTTGTTCAGACTCTCGATTCTTCTCATCTATCCTCCTGTAATGAGCTTTACATTTTAAACATAGGTTGGGATAACAAATCATGACTGTAATACATGCAAATGGTTTTTATTTTATTTTATTTGTATTTGGAAGTAGAGGATACAGTAATGGTGAGACAGAGGAATAGCCAAGGGTTGCGACATAAGCAAAAGAAAAGCAGGTGCAGCCAGTTTGCAGAAGCGAGAGAACAGCAGGTGCAAGACAGTTCTAGGCAAGATTGGGCCATGCAGGCCACATCTTCACTCCTGTGATAAGACAGAAGTTTCCACTTTTGCTTCTGCTTGACCATGAGATAAGCCTCCACTTCAGCCTCTGATTGGTTGCAGGCCAATCTTTCATTGGGTGTAACCAATTGGAGGCTTCTAAAGGGTGCCTAGGGGTGTTGCTAAGTCCTTTTGGCTTTATAAAAACCCTACTTGGGGCTGGGCAAGGTGGCTTATACCTGTAATCTCAGCACTTTGAAAGGCTGAGGTGGGTGGATCACCTGAGGTCAGGAGTTTGAGACCAGCCTGGCCAACATGGCAAAACCTTGTCTCTACTAAAAATACAAAAACAAACAAACAAACAAACAAACAAACAAACAAACACCGTTAGATGAGCATGGTGATGGGAGCCTGTAATCCCAGCTACTCAGGGGGCTGAGGTAGGAGAATTGCTTGAAGCTGGGAGGTAGAGGTTACAGTGAGCCGAGATTGTGCCATTGCACTCCAGCCTGGGTGACTCTGTCTCAAAAAACCGAAAAACAAAAAACCTCCTAATTCGAGAGGCTTTGAGCCCTTTGCTTAAGCCCGCTCCCACTCTGTGAATGACCTTCAATAAATCTGTGCTTTCATTACTCCATTCTTTGGTTGCTTTGTCTTTCATTGCTTTCTTCTGTTACTTTGTGCAATTTGTTCAATTCTTTGTTCAACAGGCCAAGAACCTGGATAATTCTATTGGGTAACGATGGTTACCAGAGGCTGCTGGGGTAGGGGGCATGGGGAAAGGAAACTTGTAAATATTTTTAAGATCAAAATTGTAAGGAATTATGTTAAATATTAACAGAGAACATTAATTACTAACAGTGCACCAAGCACCATTCTCAATGATTTGTAAGTATTAACTCAATTGTCACTACTGCTCTTTGAGAAGGTACTAGTGTTATTATCACTCCATTTTACAAATAAAAAGAGCCGGGCGCGGTGGCTCATCCTTGTAATCCCAGCACTTTGGGAGGCCGAGGCGGGTGGATTACGAGGTCAAGAGATCGAGACCAGCCTGGTCAACATGGTGAAACCCCGTCTCTACTAAAATACAAAAAATTAGCTGGGCATGGTGGCACGTGCCTGTAATCCCAGCTACTCAGGAGGCTGAGGCAGGAGAATTGCCTGAACCCAGGAGGCGGAGGTTGCGGTGAGCCGAGATCGTGCCATTGCACTCCAGCCTGGGTAACAAGAGGGAAACTCCGTCTCAAAAAAAAAAAAAAAAAAAAAAAAAAAAAAAATTAAAAAGCCCCAGAGAGATTGACTTAACACTCACAACTAGTAAGTGGCAGAACTTGGATTCACACACATGTACTCTAGCCATAAGAAACCATGTTTTTAACCACTATAATATTCTGCAACAGTTTTCTCTTCCAACCTCTCCTCACTGTTCATCTTATGCCCTAGGAGCTAACGCTCACACAGGCAGTCTTAGTGTTTTCCAGGTAGCTCATTCAACCTTGTGGGGAAACCTTATTGTTCAAATCACATTTTTTGCCCCTTTATACTTCATCAGTCAATATTCTTTCATTTGCTTTTAGTTTCCCAAATCTTTATTGAAATTAC